ATTCGTCACAGATTTTCCGCAAGAGAAGATGTTCATCGAATACTTGCGTGTGTAAGTCATTAGCTGGTTTTGTTGCTTGTGAAGAACAGTGTAAATTTGGATAAAAACGACAGTTCTTACCAAAAAGCTTAAAGGGATGATAAACACAACCAATAGAAAACAAACTTTTGGCTGAAGAAGAAATGCGGCCGACCACGAGAAAGATATTGTCGATATTATTGTCACCGTAATGAGCATACGTTTGAATGTGACTACTGAACGGTATCGTAGTTTTAAATACAACGCCAGAAATTTGTCCAAGTTTATGAACACCATGGTCTGAAGCGAAACAAGAGAGACATGACCAGACGAGAAGTCGTAGACAAACTCCGACGACACATGCAGCAAGTTCGTTCCGAAGTAAATTGTGCAGAGCAAAGGAGGGTTGAACGATCAATCCCACAAAAATTCTGACAAAGCTGAGCTGCACAGAAGAGTATCTTAGATGGCCAATCCATAGAAGGTGCTCTTTTAATGGAGAGTAAAACCAAACCGTTTCCAAAAATGGTAGTTAAACAAATTACCCAGTTTAAACTCGTGGTTATAAGTCCAACAAATTCTACCCCATTTATATCGTGATAAAAATCGCAAATGTGAAAATTGCGCTACCTGGTTTGGACCGGCGCTGTTATCGCCACCAATCTTGTTGAATTTTCCATGTCTAATGGCGGAATAAATAATAATAAATAAATAATAACTTATATAGCGCCATATCCGACTGCTCGATGGCGCTTTACAATACTGAGTTAAAAAGATAATGCCTACAATTGATTAAAGACAAAATAATTAAGACAAACAATCACATAAAATCACAAAATATTCGAAAAGAAAGCTTTTTGAAAAAGGTAAGTCTTCAGACATTTCTTAAAAGCAGCCAAAGAAAAACCAGGCTATCTCATATGAATGGGCAGGGCATTCCACAACCGTGGGGCAGCCACCGCGAAAGCTATGTCACCATAAGACTTTTGAGTAGACTGGGACAACCAGAAGAGACTGTTTAGACGACCTGAGGCTATGACTGGGGATATACGGTGATAGCAAATCACTAAGATAAGAAGGGGCTAAATTATTCAGAGATTTAAAAACCAACAACAAGATCTTGAAAACAATGCGATGCTCTACTGGTAACCAATAGAGCTCCGAAAGTAATGGTGAAGTATGACCAAATTTAGGATAACGCTTAACAAGACGAGCGGCACAGTTCTGTACAGACTGTAGCCTCTGAGTCTGGTATTTTGGATTTTTGCGGAAACACAAAGCTTGTGCGAATATCGCCTTGATAAACTTATTAGGACTACTTTATGGTCGTAGTCTACCCTTGTTGCCGTAAGGAGACAAAATTGATAAGGTAATTTATGCAACCAGAAGTGTGTTATCCACTTAATTACTTATCTTGTATAAAGAACGTGACAAGAATTCTTATTGCCTTGACAGTCTTACTTTTCACACTGATTTGTTTTAGATTTACTTAGCGCTGCACCTGCAAAAGCATTTACTCAGCGGCGTTTTTGAGCTAACAAAAACGATCTTTTCCTGCAGCACACTTCTAAGTTCCAAGTTATCGATGAGAGATCATCCCTCGTGACATAAAAGTTTTTTATTCATTACTGTTTGTTTACTCTTGAGAAAGTCAGTTGCTTTTTCATACAAATACCCCTTAATGGACAAAACGAGATTATTGTAATAATTTGGGTCGAATGAGGGTAACAAATCTTTGTTTCCAAGGTACTTATGAATGCGCCTCCTTTTCATTTTTTTTCGCGCCCACAGCCAAAATTGTCCTCGCCAGCGATCGTCAAACAATAGGACGGCGGTTCGCATTCTCGCATTGTATAATATTTTGGTTAAACTAGGGATTCGAATTTGGACCAACCAGAATTTGTAATGAGCGTTAGGCATGATACAGCTATGATCAGAGGTGTCGAAATCGTTTTGTGTGGAGATAAGTTTTTGCACTTCTTTACGATTCAAACCATTGATTTCCCAACAAAGAGATCATAAAATATAAATCATTCGAGGGAAATCATTTCTTATTTAAGACTATGATAAGAAAGGACACGTGCTGTACTTTATTTCATTTCAATATCTACAATATTTCATCGGAGTATTTACACGATTTCAAATCAAACCTCCATGCCAACTGTTTTAAACAATTGAAAAATGTATTCCGCCATTTTCATTCTGCATACCCGCATAACTGAAATGTCGCATTCACACCGAAGCTTCAACACGTTTTAAAGCTATTTTGTGAAATAAGATCTAAAATATTTTTCTTTATAGAAGCTTCTTAAACTCAACCTGACGATGTTTGTCAACTTCAAATTTCGCACATTGAAAACACAAGTTAGCGATTACTTGAATCCTATCGAAGATATAGTTTTTTCTGGTTTTCGTTCAGTTAAACCTGGTTTTAACTTAACATGTTTTGCTGGTGTGAGTAAGGTACAAGATTCATTGAACTTGTTGAATTACTACATATTCCATTTTCATTGCGAATGGATAAAATATTCGAGTAGACTTCTTAAACTAATCAGCTGAATTATTTTTTCAAATTTTTCATGATATGCAGCTACAAGTCAATTCACCATAGGAGAGACAAAAATGTATCTTTGATTAAGCAATCACTTTTTTGTTCGCAGTGCACAAGGTAACGAATATCACGTCTCCTTCTGCTCTAAATTTCAAAGGCATTTAGGAAGCTGTGTATCAAGTATTAATCAAGTTTTGCATACTCCTACAAGCTACCAATATACCATTCTTTTTATGAGTACACCGTTGGTTGAATCGTATCCAGACCAGTAATGAAGTTGGAGGGTATTTACTATTTAAGTATCGAGTTTATCGTAATTTAATATTGGAGAAAGCTAAACTTTCTACCCAAATTTCAAAATTTTCCTCGCCAATTTTTACCCCCCAAAAAGTATGTTTACGTACAGCTGACTTCTCATTGCGGGCTCTTGGACTATCTGTTTCTTGTTTCACTTTCAGCTGGCTCCAGGACTTCCATAAATGTCATTGTTCTTACATGGTGCGCTGTATCTTCACTCGGGGTCGGTGCTCTGTTTTCAACCCAAATTGGTCTTATACACTTAGAAATACACGCTAGCACTTCAGAAGCAGTTGATCGAAGCTCTGTTATCTTCCACAGATACACCGCAGGATTCACAGTCGAAAATAAAAGTCAGCGTTAATTGTGTAGCTTTTCGGATGGCTATTGTCGACTCTCCAGCTGTTACTCCTATCAGCATCACAAACCAGGCTGGAAAATATGCGATAACTTGAGCGCAATACACACATATATATATATGTATCTTATTAACCAAGCGCGAGGGCCGTACTGGGAGAATATCGGCCCGAGGTCTTGACAGTACGGACCGAGCGCAGCGAGGTCCGTACAAAAAGACCGAGGGCCGATATTCTTCCAGTACGGTCCCGAGCAAGCTTGGTTAATAAGAGATTTATTATACGACTGAAGTTCAAAGGGACCTTGAAGTGCGGTATCATTCGGGACCATTCGGGACAGTGCCCGGTCCAATACTTAGAGAATATTGGACAGGCAATGAGAGAATTTTGTACGGTTGATTTTAGTTATTGGCCCTCTGACTCCCCGAGTCGTGTGATAAAACATGCTACGGACCGAGTTCTTGTATCGTAAGATGTTCACTTGCCCTTCACCTTGGACCGATGATTTTGTGTAAGCTGAATATTGCAAACGCGTTCGCTGTTGTTGAAGAACGAAGCGAATTTATGCGAAAGTGATGAAAGAGCATTAAAAAAACGCTGGTGTAACAATCGACACAGATACACAGTACGTCGGGAGGCTCACAAAAAAAAGAGATTGCTCATGGAATGGCTAGAACCCAGATGAATACCACAGCTCGGGTTGAGCGTTTCACTGTCACCACGACGCGGTATCTCATCTTTAGTTGAGCTGCCATACACTTGTCAATGCTTATCGCCATCATGGTGAGAAAGGAAGCGATAGAAAGGTATCCTGACGCCACATCGAATACAATGCCAACAACACAACGTACTAGTCTGCCTTCAAATAGAATTTTCATTGCAAACAAGGGCTCCGCCATTAAGCCAACGCGCCCAGATCCGCCAATGCCAGGCTGCTGAGGAGAATTTTGGTTGGGAGCCATAGGGCTGTTGTCCTCCGCGTTGAGACAAGGACCAGGGTGTTCCTGACAGAACCATGCATGTTGATAGCAACGGTGAAAATATCAACAACGTCGACTTCAACTTTGACATAGAAATCACAAATGTGAAGAGATTACGAACTTATAGAATTTGTTGTATTGATCATGGTAAGAGAACACAGCTTTGCGGCTTATTTTTCGTGTTTCAGCTACTTTGGAGTTGAATGAGTGTTAGTTGGGTCGCTTTGCGCCAACAAATTCCGCTCTGGAACGTAGTGTTTACAAGAAGAAATGAAATAAAGAAGAAATGTCAGACGATAGACATTGCCTAAAATGCACTTGGCTCAAATGGAGGCAAAAGAAAACGAGATTTGTTTGCGCAAACAGACAAAAATTTCTATCTACAAAAGAGAAAATCAATTTTTAACATTGTTAACGATTGGCGCGGTCTTTGTTCTTAATTGCAAAAGAGGTGTTGGGCTGTGAGCGGATCTCGCACCTTTTGCACTATACAGTCGGAAGTACCGGAGTTTGGTACAACAGTATTCATCACTGCGCAAACTCAAACATCGAGTGTCAGCAAATTTTTAGGCAAACTGAGAGCGAAAAATAATAAAGTTGAAAAAAAATTATTTCTTTCTTAGTGCGCTCACCGGCGATTAACAGCTTGAGGGACTTGAAAGGGATGGATATCCTCTTCATTTCCTTCGCCCAGTCATTTCGTTATAAGAATACCTTGTTCGCTTCTCTAATAACGTTTGTTTACAACTGGCCCGTTGCAACTGCAAGTTAAACTAACTAAAAACGAGGGCTCCTAACCTTAGTACATGACATTTTATTTCAAAATTTTGACGTTGGCTGCTCTCACAGTCACTTTACAAAAATTGAATTCTATTTGATTCTTTATACCCGTGGTTTTCTACATGTTAACTTTTAATTCGCATAAAAAAGTAACCTCGTGTTGGGTGATTTCTGACCGGAACGTCTTTAAGTGCTTCGAGCGAGCTTTCTCTCTTTTACTTCGGTGCTTCCTTTTTTTTCCCTACAATCAATCTCTACATCGTTCCCAAATACACTGTGCTCTCCATTTACAAAACCAAGCGCACAGCAAGTCACGTGACGTAACACTACTACAATCTAATACGTCTATCAACCCGCAACCTTATTGGTCTATCAACCAGCACCTGGTTCTTATCCAATGATTCGCGAGGGAAAGGTCCAAATTAATATTTCAACAGTTACTTTTCATCAGCATCCTAAAATTTATCGTTCATCTTAAGAGCAGCAAAATCACTGCCATGATGTCCAAAAAGGCCACACGAACAATGTAAGAAATAACTTTTCTACCCTTTCAAAGGCTTAATTATTAAAGATTAATCCCTACAGTATTTTTTACCACCCTTTAAGTGTAATCTATTGATCAACTACATTTAATTTCATCATTATCTAATGGTGGCTTAGAATTTCATGCATTATGTAATTTATGGCGATATCAAAACGAGGCTTAAGAAATAAAAACTGAAAATATGAAGAAAATATTTAGCACAGTAATACATCAAACTAATTAAAGATATGCTTTAAGTATTTTTTTCCATTTCCCCTCTCTACAACAATGTTAAATTTAGCTAATTACAATTAAAACACCAGATGGCTGCTACGATTCACATTTCGAAATGTCATTTTGAATGTCTAAAAAATAGGTACACTCTATTGTCTACAAGTAACAACTTATCCAAGAATAAATAAAATAACAATTAAATGGGCTTCTGGCGAAAGCGAATTCTGTGAAATACTTGGGGTGACAAAAATTCTTCTTGTATCAACTTGCACCAGATCGCTTGGTAAATCCGGCTATAATTAACTGAAATAAATCAAACAAAACCAAAACATCAAAATAAATTCAAACTTGCTGGCCTGCGCCGGCGGCTAAAGGTTTATCCGACAACCGATGGAAATAACAGTACTGCAGCCGCCAAAACGGCATACGAAGCTTCGAATAACTTCCTACGCGAAGCCAAGGTGATACAACAATAGTTGAAGTTTAAAGAAGCTCCCTATTTCAATCTCTTCACTCCCGAGATTAAAACAAAAATTCTCTGTCCTCTCCTCTATGGTTTTCTCATGATTTTAGCTCTGAGGATTTGCTTTTAAATCAAACAATATCTCCTACACGATATTCGTCTTCCTTCTCGTTCACCCCTTCTGCATTGAAATGTAAAGGTCCCGGTTGTTCGAAGGGGGGGATAACGCTGACCACTAGATGAAACCCTATCCGCTGGATAGTGAAATACGTATTGTTAACACTGATCCGCTGGATTGCGATTTAACCACTGGATAGAGCTACCCGAGCTCTTTACATCAGCCACACAAATTCCCTCGTGGAGACACATTGATCAATTCTGTATCTTAGCAACTACGCACCCACCCCTCCCCCCTAACCCAACAACATTCAACTGAAAACAAGTTGGGGCTAATGTTCGGGTTGGGGGAGGGGTGGGTGCGTAGTTGCTCAGATACTGACGTTTCTATTCTAATACACTTTACCTGGTTGACTAAAATACACGAAATCTCTGCGATTAAAAATCTTTAAATGGCTCCAGTAGTTTGCCACTAAGAGGCGGGGCTGATCTCCAGTTTTCCTCTGGATAATCGTCAAAATTCCTAGTGTCGCCTGGATGGGATAGCTTTGGTATAATAGGAGCCTGAGTAAAAACCAAGGACCTCTGTTAGATCACCGTACAAGTTTGACCACTAAGAATATTTCGCGTCGCTTGGAGATGGGTGAACTCGAGGTTAAAAGTCAATAAATTAGTGAGGGATCCCCGACTTGAAATAAGTACGGGGCTCTTGGAGGGGGAGGGGAGCAAGGGAGTGGGTCCCGAAAATAAAGTACCCGGGGGATTTGACGCTTTCCGGCTCTCCGCATTAGATTCGTCAGTAACAGCAACTGATCTCCAATGTGATTAGCTATAACTAAATCTCTAAATACCTTGAGCTTTCTTTGATAAACTAAATTCCAATCTATCACTTTGAACCATTTATGGCTCTTCACATCTTCTGTTCCATTCTGAAACAAACCACGATTATTCAAAATATAAATGGTACTTTCTAATCACATCAGTGATAAAGACGATATCTTACAGTTGCGGTAAACTCGTAAATTGAAACGTTCACATTTTGAATCGAAATAGTATGCAAGCACTGTTAAATGAAACCCTACATATTCGCTCGAGCATGGAGCATGACAAATGAATTGCGTTGCTTCTTTTTAAGAACTGATGTATCAGTTGCTTTGACAAGGGATGCTATTTAACAAATGATAAACACCACAGCGTACACTATTGAGTTATGGATGCACGCGGGAGGTTGCTAAGCACGAAAGATGCGTAAGAGTCACTCGAGGCGATAGCCGAGAGCGACTCTAGCTTCTTGAGTGCTTAGCAAACCTCCCAAGTGCATCCATAACTCAATAGTGTACGCTGTGGTGTTTACCATTTGTTTTATAACATAACATT